CTTGGTCTTTTGGAAAGGGATGATAGGTGGTGGATTCGTAAAGCTTTGTACGGGCTGCCTACTTCGCCTAGGGATTGGGGGCGTTACCGAGATGAGGAGTTCCGGAAGATTGAGATTGTTTCAGAAGGGTTGGTTCATCACTTAGTCCAGATGAAGTCAGACGATGCACTCTGGTTGGTCCGGGTCTTTAAGGACGGTAGCTTGGGTGACATTGTAGGGATTTTGGTGGTATATGTGGATGACTTAGCGTTCTTTGGTCCGGTTGATCTATGTCACCAATTCATCCATGCCATAAGAAACAATTGGAAAACCAGCGACCCGGAGTGGGTCTCTGGGACGCCGGTGACTTTCTGCGGCATTGAATTGTCTAGGAGCGATGTAGGTTATCGGATGACGCAAAAAGCGTACGTGCAGGAACTTCTTAACAGATACGCCATCGACGAGGAGGCGAATGTGCCTATAACGAAGTGGACAGAGCCGGAAAGCCCTGAGGATGCCACGGCGGAGCAGATAAAGGAAGCACAAGCGGTGACAGGCGCATTATTGTGGTTGTCGACGCGAACACGACCTGATATTGCATATGTTGTGGCACGATGCGGGCAACAGGCGACGAAATCACCTTTGCTCTCGATTGCGTTGGGCCGCCAAGCTCTTGCATACTTGAAGACGACAATGGAAATGGGGATAGATGTGCCTTTTCAGCTTGGTGATACCTTTAAGAACCATGGTCTTTTGTCGCTGCCGCGCACGGATAAAGTGTTGGAGGTGTATACCGATGCTTCACACAGCCCTGGAGGGGAGCGTTCGATGCAAGCCATTTTTGTAGTGTGGTGCAGTGTGCCCTTAGCCTGGGAAGTGACGAGGCAGCCATTCGTGACTTTGAGCAGTGCGGAGTCAGAGCTGGTGGCCATGGTGGTCGGAATCCAGAGAGGGGAAGCAATCCAGCCCCTCATCGAGGAGGCCGTGGAGGCTGACTCGGTGATTTCACTATTAGCGGACAACGAAGCCGCCCTCCGAAGTTTTGAAACGTCGCCAAGCGGCTGGCGTAACAGACACCTTCGTATGAGAGCACATGCTGCTCGAGAACGAATCTCCTCTAATATATTACGAGTGTCGCATATGCCGGGAGAGCAGTTGGTGGCGGATTTAGGAACGAAACCGATGCCCCGTTCCCGTATCCTTAAACTCTTAGACCTCATCAACATTAGGATTCGGGTGTCTAGTGAGGGTTCGGAAGGGGATGCTCGTATGCTTAGTCGGCTGAGTCTTGGGGGGGGTGATTCTCTAGAAGTTACGGCCAAAACCGTGGCAGGTCTGGTCCTTTTGGCTATGCTGCCTCGTGTGAAGGGGCAACCTTTTGAAGGCCAGATTGAGGCGGCTTCGGGCTGGATTTCGTGGGTGTTGGGGATCCTAGTTTCCGTGTGCCTAGGCTGCTGGGGTTGGGTTTGGCTTTACGGGGCCCAGGGGTTTAGTGCAGGAGATCCTTCGGAAGGCCGTGAAGTTGAGCCGGTCGAATCAGAAGCGGTAGCCTTGAATGCGATTGAAGCTAGCGATGAAGCATCCGGAAGCCGTACAGAAGCCGAGCCAGCGGGTGATGATGATACTTTCAGTGAGTCCGAGTGGGCTACCGCGCAGGCTAAGTTTGAAGCCATGGAAAGGGAGTCGGGGCTTACCTTTGTTCAGAGGGCGAGGATTAGGAGGGTCCTTGAGTCAGGCGGGGTTTTGGAGCCTCCGGTGTTCATGAACAGGTTTGGACCGTCCCCCTCCTGGTTCACAGGGCTGGAAGTACCTAGTGAAGAGCAGGCCCAGGATGAGGATACTGCAACTGTAGGAGCGCCGGTAAGTGATTCTGCGGAAAGGGAGGCGAGCCCAGGGTTTTCGGGCCTCGATGGTTCGGGGTTTTTAATTTGGTTGTTGGGATTCTGCGGCAGTGAACTAGCTGTCCTTCTGGGGGTGCAAGCTAGGGAATGGGCAGAGCTAGGAGGTGCCTCTCGAGGGTTTAGGTCGGAGTCCACGGTTGGCTTGTTGCGACGTCTTCGGGATACTGGGATGTATGTAGGAGATTTTCCGGGTCAAGTGGAGGCCACTTTTGCGTTTCAAGGACTTGGGGCTGGCTGGAGACCCGTGAGTTTATCAACAGACGGCTTGACTCAGTTGAGTTCAGGCTCTCAAGGTCCTGGGGATTCCAACGGTCAGATCGGGGGGAGTTCCAGTGTTCAGCATTTGAGTTCAGGCTCTCAAGGTCCTGGGGATTCCAACGGTCAGATCGGGGGGAGTTCCAATGTTCAGCATTTGAGTTCAGGCTCTCAAGGTCCTGGGGATTCCAACGGTCAGATCGGGGGGAGTTCCAGTGTTCAGCATTTGAGTTCAGGCTCTCAAGGTTCTGGGGATTCCAACGGTCAGATCGGGGGGAGTTCCAGTGTTCAGAATGTGAGTTCAGGCTCTCAAGGTCATGGGGATTCCAGTGGCCAGATCGGGGGGAGTTCCAACGCGCAGCTAGTTGATTCTGTACCGTCACCCAATGTGCAGGTGGGCGGTAGTTCTAGCAGTCATGGTATGACAGCGGCTCCAACGCAGGGATTATGCTACGAAGACTACCAAGGTGATGCCATGTTGGTTGATAGGTTTCCGTACGTGGGCTCCTGGATGTCGGTCCATTACTTGCTCCATGTGTTTTCTCAAGTTGGAGGGCAAGTTTTGTGGGCTTTAGGAGAGAGAGCTTCCGAGTGGAGACATCTTCGGGTGGTGTCAGTTGGAGTACGGTATGCCCTACATGCTGCTGTGGCAGAAGTTATGAGGCAGGGCCCTTTTGCTCTGGTATTCGATTCTCCTCAATGGCAGATAGCTGTGGAGGAGTATATTACCACGGGCCATTTGGGGTCACAGGTGGAGACCTCTAATCAGGTGCCCGGCAGCTGTGTCGAGACCCTGCGGGTGTCTCGTTTTCCGTATGTTGAAGGTCCCCCTCGAATGGTAGCTCACTATCTTTGGCGAGTGTTCATGGTATGCGGATGGTGTGTACTGGATCTCCTGGGAGACCGAGTATCGTCTTGGAGATTTCTCAGGGCAGTGGCACCAGGTTTTCGGAGCAGTGTTACGTTGGCACTTACGGTGTGGCTACGCCAGAGGTGGCCCCTTTATGTAGCTCCTTCGCAAGATACCTTTGATGCTGCCACCGCTTACATGAATACTGGTGAGGTTCACTATCCATTTGGTTCCAGCGAGGTTGGGGATCAGGTGCAGGTGGATGATGAGGTTGATGATGATGGTTCGATCGATGAGAGGCCTCTTAGGCCCCGCGATGAGCCTGGTGGATGGGCTGGTCGGTTTGCGCCGTTGGCACAAGAATTGCTCGAGTCCTCGGAATCAGAGGATTCGGGAATGTCTACAGTCGAGCCTTCAGTTGTGTCAGCCAGTGAAGCGAGTAGTTCGAGCGGGTTCTGTGTGAGTCGATCTGCTGATCTCGAGGGTCGTGTGTCGCCCGAAGCGGCACAATCAGCCGGGCCTCACTACGAAGCCCGCGAAGGAACGTTAGTGTGTACGTATCTTGATGATACAGTTTGGGTTCCTGTTGAGGGCTGGAGTCAGGCTGAGATCGAGACTGTCGCTCAAGGGCTGAATACGGGTGATTGGGAAGCCTTTCAGGGTCTAGTTTCTCCTGTCGGTGATGCCCTGACCGTTGGAGCTGAGATGCCTAGCGGGAGTTCGGATAGCCCTCGATATGCTACGGGACACCTAGGAGGGACTCTGAGGATCCCTCGCAGTGTGCTGATCTTGGTGCTCCTGGTGTTATGGTTCTGCTGTGGTTGCATTAAGGCGGTTGCAGCGGAAGCGGTTTCTGGGGATCATTCAGGTTCAGGCTGTGAGGCACCATGGATGCAGCAGGCAGTTCAAGTGCGGCCTCGAGCTCAAGATGTGGATTTACCCGGGGAGGACCAGGGGCTAGGATGTGATGGATCAACGATGTGGGAGATAGGTCGGTGCCTTCTTGTTATCCTGACTTGGGAGTTCTGTAGGCTCATTGTCGTCAGGGCTTGTCGTGCTAAAAGGGCGCGAGCGGAAGCCTTTTGTCAAACTGGGTCGATGGATGTGGTCCCCATGCCTCTAAGTGAGAGTGTACCGCATCGTGGTCGCATACTGTTTTGTTTTTGGCGTGCGGGATTGCAGATCGACGTTGAGCCTTATAATGACAGGGTGAAGTCGGAATTCCATTGGTTGGTAGGGGACTACTTAGAGCGGGTTGAGATTGGGTTGGTTTCTGAAGAGGAGTCCGACTAAAAAACCTGCCCCGTGGTTTGGGGAAATAGGAAGGAAGCTGATCGTTCTGGAGGAGCTGTTGGCTTGTCCTTCGAATCTTGACAGCTTTGGGTTACCGGGGATGATACCTTGGAGTAGTCTCTAGCCAGTAGCGCTAGGCCCCATTTTAGAGTCCTGAGATCATAAAGTGATGTTAGGATTGGGTCTAAGGTGTTGTCCTAACCGGCGTTTGAATAGTGTAGTTTGGGATGCCAGAGAGCTCGGGTATGAGTGCCTTCGAAGAAGGTAGCCTGTTGTATAGTACAGGCGATCGTAATGGAGCTCACTTTCATTCTGGCTTTTGTCCCTTGGTATCAGCCGAAGGAGTGGGTACAGATGAGCTTAGAGCTTATACTGGGGTTACTTTTCCGTAGAAGGCTTTTCGGGTCCCGATGATTTCCACCCATCCTTTGGAAGGTTAGGTGGAAAGGGGGAGTGCGTGAAGCTGACCCCAGGATGCAGACCGCTTCGTCCGACGTCAAGGCTGTTTTTGTTCGAGGAAAAAAGATTGGGCGTTGAAGGAGCGCTCTTCTAGTATTCGTTGTGACATTGAGATTCCGAGCTCTTCATTCAATCATTGCGAGGATCTTGGTTATCATTAAGGGTTTATCTCACGTACTAAACCCTAAACCCAAAACCCTAAACCCTAAACCCTAAACCCGAAACCCTAAACCCTAAACCCTTTAGACCTTCACTCCGGCAGCCTTGCCCCAGTCGGACATCTCAATCCAGGAGACTACCTGAATCAAAGGGGAAAAGGAGGGACCCTTAATGGGGACCCCTACCCTAAAATGGGCTATATAATGGGTACATAATAGCTATATTAAGGGTATATACCTAGGGGGTCACTCCAAGAAGATCCAAGAAGTTGGGTTAAGGTTTCAAGGTGCAGGAATGCTCCGATGGTCGTTTCACGGCTTAGTGTCTCGGGTTGGCATCAATATGCGGAAACCCCTGCAGTATGAACACAAACCCATCTGGGCACGATTCCACTGATTCCACAACTCGGGTTCTGGCCGTCCGCCGAAGCTTCGTAGGACCACGGTTGAGGGTTTAGGGTTTAGGGTTTAGGGTTTTAGGGTTTAGGGTTAAGGGTTTAGGGTCCCTCTCGAGGGATTGGCGCTTCAGGGGCGTTGGGAAATCCCCCACCTGGCTAACAGTTTCATCTGCGATGGTGATATCGAAGCCCTCTCCCGCGAAGAAGGCCGGGTCAGCAATCAGGTCCACCTGAGAGCGTGGTTTGGGGCCTGGGGGTTTCAGGGGGTTTTGCCAAGGAACTTAGGAGAGCTCTGCTTAAAGAGCTTCCGGGCACCATCAAATCAGGATTCCGTGAAACCACTGCTGGAAAGCAAATAGCCACAAATTGGCCCCTTCCTCTTGGAAGCCTTGGAGGAGGGGCAGGCTCTATCCTAAACCCTAAACCCTAAACCCCAATCACCTATACCCTGACATCAACTAGCGCTTCCGCGGCACTGCAGCAATGACCTGCCAAGATCCGATTCGGTTTCGGTCCGGGGTTCAGGTTCATGTTTAGGCTTTAGGGCTGGGGGACTAAGATGTAGGGCATGCATGCTTCTTTGGGCTTTGAGGTTTAAGCCTTATCTGCGGGCTTGAGAGTCTAAGTCTAGGGTTTACGCTTGGGCTTTTGTTTGGGGTTCAGGCTTGGGCTTGATGGTTTAGGGCTTGGTTTGGGGGTCTAGTTCTTCCGGCTATAGACATAAGAAGCCAATGTAGCACAGTCCATAGCTTAACGTGCTTGTGATGTCAGAGTCAATGCGTGTCAAAGCTGCACTCCTTGGTAATCTTCGTTTGAACTTAAGAATCACGTCAGAGGCTCTATGTAACTTGAGATCACAGAGTGAAACAAACGCGCAAATTCGTACGGAAGCAACCTATGCTGTGTTACATGGGCGAAAGTCCAGCGAAAGTTGCGGTTGATGCTCCAGCGTTAAAGCATCCCGGCCTGAGCCGGGTTTTCGTGCAAGGTGTAGTTGATGATAAGAGATCCCACATCGATGGGCGACATGTTGTTGGAATCCGTCTTGGCTTTGTACAACTCATAGAAAACATCGGCGGTGAACTCCTGCGGGGTACTTGCACTTAGCCTTACTGCACAAGTGCGAAGGAAACCTCTGTGAAAAGGCCGAAGAATCGAAATCGGAGAAACGGAAACTTCTCCACTCGGGATTGAAGCCCTGAATCACAGTTTCTCGAGCTTAGCGTAGCTTCAACTGCATACACTTCAAAGCTCACAGGCTCGCAGAAGCCTTCCTCGCCTTGGCCGAGCCTACCGCGAAACCTTGCAACAAGTCTCTGACGACATCATAGCCTCCTCCTCCTCCGCGTCCTACTACTGCTACTACTACTCCTCCTCCTACTACTGCTGCTGCTACTGCTACTGCTACTGCTACTGCTACTGCTACTGCTACTGCTACTGCTACTGCTACTACTACTACTACTACTACTACTACTACTACTACTACTACTACTCCTACTGCTACTGCTACTGCTACTGCTACTGCTACTGCTACTGCTACTGCTACTGCTACTGCTACTGCTACTAATACTACTACTACTGCTGCTACTACTACTGCTACTACTACTACTACTGCTACTACTACTACTACTACTGCTACTAGGACTGACACCACTACTTCTAATCCTCGTGCAGCTGCTGTTCCTATTGCCAACGCTAACTGCTGACTGTGGTGGGTCAAACCTCTGAACACTTGTTGCTGCCTAAATACTGACGTTGGCGCATCACATGACTCGTGAACCACTGATAAAGAGAATCAACAACCTGCCTCACAACACCTCATACATACAAAACCGTACCGTTACCGTATCTACAACAGTTCGCGCATCTAGACCAGGTTTATTGTACTACTGTTAAGTGGCATAGTATTCAGAACAAGAACTTTTCGCAATACACACCAGAACATCACCCCAGAACATTCAGGTCCAGTGGGAGTTCGCCGCTGACGAGACGGCCTGTCACCCAGCCAACCTTCCAGACTGGATTGCACAGAGCTCTAGGATTAGGATTTTCGCTTGAGGGTTTAGTGTCTGAGGAATAGGAATGTAGGGCTGCAGCAGCGGCTGACATGTTGCTGCTAGCGAGGCAGAAGCACATCCAAAAAAGGGCGGTAACCCGAAAGCGCGAGAATTATGGTGCTGCTGCGGTGCGTAAGTTACGCACGTCTTGTCTTAGCCGTCCTTCAACATGTGGATCTTAGCCTTACATCGACACGAAACAGTGAATATAGACCCCTCAATGTAACCCAGAGTGGCACTGCCTTCGTGAGGTTCTTGCTGGCCACCAGGGTCAAGTAATCCACAATTGCCGATGCCACCTGCAACTGACTCGAAATGTTGTGGTCTGGGTATAAGGGTTTGGTTTAGGGTTTAGGGTTTAAGGACTCAGGAATTGAAGCCGCATGCCAATCCCGCGTACATTTGGGCATACTAGCCCGCGCTCCCACATCCTCCGACCTCTGCGCGCAGCTTCACCACTTTTAGCTCGGAGCCGACAGAAGCCAGCCTCCGCTGTTGGTCGGATTGGAGCCAGGCATAAATCTGAAACTTGAATTCGCTACAATGGCTTTTCGCAGTCTCTGTGCCCTCTATCCCTGCTTCTGCGTCTTCTTCTTCCCGGCAGTTAAGGGGTGATGGCAGTCTGTCTGCAAAATGCCAAAGCTGACCTAAAGAAGCTCCGTGCACGCACACGATTCGAAGGTCCCAGAACAAAAACGCGGTATGCATCTTCGCCCCCCTGCGGTACGAACATCGACGCATCATGACGCATCCATGACCCTGAAAGTGCACTAGGCGATGTTGCCCTTATATACTGCACTGCAGCCTCCGACCTGCCTCGACCCTTCCCTATACCCCGAAGCCGCAAAGCCTCTCTCGTCTCTCTCTCCTCCCACTTCCACCCCTCCTCCTCAACCTCACCCAAGACTCAACAAGCACGTCACCCAAAAGCCGAAATATCAGAAGCCTAGATACTAAACCCGGACACTCGAAACCCCAACTTCTTGAGATTGTTGGGGTGCTCATTGCAGACTGCAGCAGCCGGTTCGAGTAAGTGCGGAGGATCGTCGTCATCAAGCCTTTCCAGCGAACTTGCAAGCAAGCATTGCCCTAAACCTTAAACTTCCCTACACAGCTCTACACCCTGTATAAGCCCTGGACGGTGTGTCACGGAATCCGGTAGCAGTGTTGGATTGCCTTCATCCCGTTTCTAGTTCACTGAGGGCCATAAAAAACAGCCAGCAGGGCATTTAGCAGGGATGGTTGCAGCGACCTGGGGGAAAACCTATAGTCCTTTATAGCCCCCGGTAGAGGCAGCCACTAGTATCTCAAGGCTCGGTTCTTAACCCACTTCGGAAACCCGGTGATGCAGACCCTTGGGCAGGCAGTGCGAAGCCAAACAACAACAGAACTTGGTGTACCTTCAATTCCGTGGTTCATGCTAGGAGTCATTGTTCAAACTCACTCACGTACTTGCACTACTGTGCACACAGTTCGAATTACACTAGCCCAAAAAACAAACAAGCCTCTACAGTCTATCACTCGGTGGGTACCCATACTTTCGGGGTTCCGGTTTCGGATCGGCTGCTGGGAGTTTCGGATCAGGCAGGAGCAGTTTCGGGGCCAGTTTCGGGTCAGTTTCGGATCGCTGGTCCGTCAGTTTAGGAGGCGTGGTGGGCCCTGATCCGAAACTACCCGGGCCATTGGCCCGAAACTCCGGAACCACACCTTCCGCCTATCACTATCCACATCTGGACGGGCAACTTCATTCGCAAAACCTCTCATCGACTTGAAAAGAAGAAAGAAGAGACCCCTCGCAGTCGAATCTGGCCCGTACCACCTGGAAGGGATGGATCCGTCACAAGGCCCTCATACCTGCCGAACGGTTTCGGAGGTTCAAGGGTTCAGGAGTCGCCCCACCTCCATTCTTGGGCTTCGGGGTTCAAACTCAACTCGTGCGTCGTCTTAGACACGCGCGGAAGTTCGGACATATTGCAGCGCTGGGTGGGTTGCTTCGAGGCGGTAAATGCACAGGATCCCACACCACGCAGGGCCATGCCATGCATGCGTAATTCTATTCGACCCCTGCCCCAGTGGCCGAAGGAACAAACCTCGTGGAGTTGAACAAGGAAGCTGCACTCGGCTGTGGCATGAAAGAATGTCGCTGAGCTGGGCTTAGCATGTGAGGGCCGAATTGCTCTTTCTGATGAAACGGACGTGCGACCCCACCTCCCCTGGTACAGAAAGGTATGAAGAAAGACAAATCCAGATCTATCCGAATTTGGGCAGGCACGTCTTCACCGAACATGCCTTTAGCATCTGACAGGCGAACGACCGGGAGAAGCCAAGAAGCAAGAATCATCCTGGAAGTTGCTAAGGGTCCCTGTTTAAAGCAATCTAAACGAGGACGGCACTCGTGGATGTCGATTCCACCCTTGTTGTCAGTGTTGTACTTCTTCATGAGCGTAACAGCCTTCAGCTGTGACTGTTGGAGAGACGAGGGTCTTTGCAACAGCGTAGCATACGAGGATCGCTCATGAGGAGAAAGACACGCCAGAGTGACTACGAGTCAGCCGCAGCTCTCTAAACACTCCACCGCCAAGCAATTTCGGAACCCTTCACGGCCTTAAACACCAAAACTTCCACTTCGAACTTGTCAAACGCTGAAAGATGTCCTTTAGAGGCTTCGGGTCTTTGGATGTCTCGAGGAGCTTCTAAGACTCAAGGATCGAGCTGAAGGAGCACGAAAGATCAAATAGTCATGAATAGTAATACTACTAATAATTGCTATAGTATTATTGTTATTATAGAAATCCCCCCCCCATTTTATCACATGGCAACGTCATTTCGCCTTGGGTTGAGGCTTTTGGTTTGAGGTTTAAGTTGTGCTGCCGGGTCCGTACTATCCAGACTTATCCCAGAACCGAAAAGACTTATCAGGGAGCATACCAGACTTATCCCGGAACCGTCCAGTTCTTTCCCATTGTGCACGTCCAGACTTATTCCGAAACACTCCAGGAATTGATCTAGGACGGCATCCATGACGGTTTTGCACTGCCAATCGTCTGAAGTGGTTCTATACCCGAGTCCAACACTTTGGCCAACAGGTAGCATGCTGTGTGTCTTGTGAAAGGGTTGTCAAGAAGTGCATGCAGCCCGTCGCTAGATAGAGTTCAGCTGACAGCCACAGGTCTATGTATACAAAGAAGCTCCAACATGTCAAGAACCAAGGCTCTTGCCTTTTGCCCTTGTAGGGACGTGATGCCATACTGATTGGCGGCCTGGACACGCGAAGGTCATCTTCAATACTTATCTGGAACATCTGAGTCGGGCACGAAAGATCAAATAGTACTGAATAGTAGTGATACTAATAATTGCTATAGGATTACTGTTATTATAGACATCCCCCCCCCCCCCGGTTTTAGGGATGAGGGGTCGGCACCAGTTTCTGGTCAGGTGGCCCTCAAGACTGGTTCGCTGCCCAGAAGTCTGAAACACTTTGCCCTTCTGTGGATTCACAGCTGACATGCTTCCTCCACTTGGAGGATCATGGGACTTAGTAAGTATGGTTATAAGTACCTTAATTGGGGTTATAACCCTAGTTACTAAGTCCCATGATCCTCTAAGCAAGCTTAAGAGCCTGTCTTGCCCCCCTCATAATATGGCACTTCATCGGCAGCCAGGCTCCGGGGATCCGATGAAGCAGAAGGCACGTATTCTTACAGTAGCCTTGGAGGACATCCCGAAGCTTGGGGAAAGCCTGTCTCATGAAGAAACCTGGGGTCTCCATCGCTTCAACACCGGCTCAAGCTCTGCAACTCCGATTCCCTACGTGTCTAAGAGGCCAAGAATTGCTACCGGTCTGAGGCGGCGCCTGCTGCAGCTCCTTGACATCGATGCCTGCACAGCTCTTGCAAAAAAAGCACAAGTCCCGTGTATACGCGAGCGATTTCTCGTCTTAGATCGTCTAGTTACGCCCGCGAGGGAGACAGCAACGGTTCGCACAACACCGGTCCGGCCGTCGTCGTAGGGGTCGAAGATATGGTAGGTGTCGAACACCATCTCCTGTGTCCACGCGCATGCGGCTACAAGCGGCGACAGCCTTCTCACATGTTCTACCTCTGCAGCGCGAAAATGCCTACACCGGATAAACTCCTTGTACATTCCCCCAGTCGAAGCCATCTGCTGCATGACCTGGCAGAAACTCGTCGAGGTGAGAAAGCTGCAGGGGTTATAGATACACAAACACTACTTCATAGTGAACAACGCATAAACACATAGGGAAAAAAAAGTAACATAGGAAAGGTACAAAACAACGTATGAGGGCTCGGATGCGATGGTGGGAACTTTCCACCTTCTTGCCAGGACGAGTGCTTCGCTGGCAGGAATAAGTATCAGGATATGAGAACGGGGCCCACTCGAAGGAATCTCTGCAATGTATCAAGTATCAGGATGTGAGAACGGGTCTTGTACAACCGGGACGTGGATGTCACAGACTAGCCATAAGAGATTTATAAGGCTTTGAACACAAGCTATGTGATGATTTGTAGTATCAAGGGTTTAACAACTGCACATGGCAAGGCAAGCGGTACTCGGAACTGTGTCTGACGTGGCTCGGGAGAGGTCACACATACATAATGATGTGTGCATGCACATCTTGCTTGCCTATCTGGATCTAGCACACACATCCTCAGGTCCTCCGTCAGCAGATACATCGGCAGCAAAGTATGTATTGTGTCTGCTCTGATTTCCTGCGCTGATATCCTGCAGCGTGCCAGCCGATGCTACCCCATGTCACATGTGCGACGCACCCGATGTTTAGGGCTACGTACACTGACACCTTGGACTCTATTGGAACAATCATATGAGTGAACGTCCTCAATCTCTAGAGTCGGCAGCGCGACACGAAGGGTGCGCCTGATCAAACAGCTTCTGGGCACGGTCCTCAGTGGAGAACCAGGAAGAAGACGAGAAGAGGAAAGGCTAGCATCAGTGGTGGCTTACGGCCCAGGGCTCTGCGGTTACGGGTAAGTCACGGGACAATAACACTGACGATGGAGATGCTGATGAAGATGTTGGTGAAGGTGACTGGACAGCGTGATGGCGATAATTATGACGAGTAACCCCGAAAACACTCAAACTTAATAACTTGCACTTTCAGATGGATAGCCGCGAAGCAACATCAGCAGCACCTACACAGAGACTCCAGCTTCAACAAGCTCTACTTGTGCCAGGCAGAAGCTGCAACAAGAAGAACACAAGTGCCCGGCTAGACAAGCGATAAACTGAATCGCGCGTTGCTTAGAAAAATGTACCTACGGCAGAATCCTTCTCTCAAACAACATATACGATCAGATGCTATAAAAAAATTATAACAGACTATGATATACTATGATATACTATGATATCCCATGATATGCTATGATATGCTTTAATGTGCTGTGACATACGACAATAAATGATTCCATATACCATGATAGACTGTAACATACTATAAGATACTGTTACAACATAATTTGCCGCTGAGGCACGGCGACAGTTCCGAACTCTTCCAGTGTATCCTGGATCTTCGCGCTGAAGGAACCCAACCTGGGCCGATTATGTTAGGGCTTTTTTTTTAACCATCGCGTCTTTTCGCCGCAAGGCATTCAGACTACCGCACCGGCTGAGTGAGGGTAACAACAGCCATAAAACACATATGATTGGGATTCGACCACCTCACCACGTTAGGGTTTAGGGTTTAGGGAAACCCTAATATGGGGGCGGCAAGAAAAAGAAGAAGATGGCGGGACATTTCAGTATACTCATAACAGAGAACCCTCATTTAGAACGAAAACTAAGCCCTAGTTCCAAAAAACTGCAGTACTACTAATTCCGACCCCTTTTTTTGGCCTGGAAAGGTTGTAGCTCGAGATTTGAGATCCAGGCTTTCATGAGTGCAGCAGTCGAGTTCGAGACATTTATGCTGTAGTACAACATAGTGGACTGATGTATCTTGTAGTAAAGTTACCGCGAAATGTTCTGAAATGTAGCCGCCGCACCCCAAAACCCTACATCCAAAACCCATACTTTACATCCTGATTCGTAAACCAGTAAACCTTGAAGCCTTAAACGCATCGAACGCCTTAACACCTACCTTCAAGCCCCAATCAGAAATTCCGATTGTGCCAGGTCCCAGGCCATTCGCCGACTTGGCTCAGCGCAGGTCTGGGTTCAAAGCGACAGCAATGCAGAAAGGCTCTCAGACAAGACCACTTGGGCAGCAGGCTGAACCCAAGAAGCTTGAACCGAACAGTACCCCCACCAACCCATACAAGTAGATATGGGCCCTACAGAATGGCTGGGAACAAGACGCAGAGAATGCCAACCAATTCCGACATTCCCGGCTGGGCCCTTTTCGGGAAAAATGTGCCATCCCACCTGTCAAATAGCCCTTCACACGAATACCGTCTCAATGCAGCAACTTTCACGTGCTGCACAGGAATCCTAGCCTTAGGTCTGTATGCACACATGTACATATGTACTTACCTTCGTACGTGATTTGGAGCACGCTTCTATGTCATGTACCGAAAGAGCACCGGAGCGAGAAAGGGAGAGAGAGAGAGAGGCAGAGACAAAGAGAGAGTGGGAGAAGGAAAAAACAGCAGAGTCAGGGGGACTGGTATCGATATGTATGTGTACATGCATATGTACATGTACATGTACATGTATATGTATATGTATAGGTATATGTGTGTATATACATATATATATATATATATATATGAATGCCTGGATGTAGCTATGCATGTATAGTGTGTACTTTTCGGTACAGATATATGCTACATACAGACCTTCACTGTCGAATTTTCCGTTCACTAGGGATACAATGGAGTCTGCGCAGCCAAGACTCAAATTCCCGAAACCCGAATCCGGCGTCCAACCTCGAGCCTCAGACACTCTGAAACTCGAGACTTTACATCACAAGGCGCCTGAGCTCGTTCAAGACATCATGCACCAGGGGCTTCACCTCAGCTTATCGGGTGCGAGGTTCGGGCTAGGGTGCGGGCAGGTGCGATTCTGGATGTCTTTTTCATGTTTCTTATGCGCTGTGGGTCTTAGGATTTGGGGTTCCTGGTGGGTCCCCTTCCCAGACTATTGCGAAATGCCCAATATCAGCCTGCATGGCTAAACTGCAGAATCAGAACCCTTCTGTAAGAGCCCACGTCTCGCTGATTGACACGGCTTGCTGCGGAACATGCAGGCAACAAGACAATGCATGGAAGCCATAGCATTTGCACCACGTAGACCTCAAACGCAACGCCCTAATGGCCCAAGGAGTCTTAACCTCAAGGACTCTCCTGCTGCACTTAACGGTTCTAAACGCAAGGTACTACAAAAAAAGAGTTTCTATCAGGATACTGAAAAAAGAATACTTTACGCATTCCTTCAGGTTCAGGACTCAGAGGTACAAGTGAGCTGAGACAGAAACTTTCTCCATGGACTTCCCAGCGACGACTTCGATGGCCGGGAGTGCCTTTGCCTTTTCAATCTTCCGACAGGATGGTGCATTACAGTAGATTTTCGTATATGAATATTATCGTATCTTAAAGCATGATACGGCCTACTCCAAGGATTTCAGACTTGCAATCCATGCTCTGCGTGTCAAGGTCCTTGCAGTTCCTCCCCACTTGCGAATCGTCGTTTCAGATCTTGGCGTACAAGTCTGACAACTTCAACACTGGGAAAGTCGTCCAACACAACAACGGACCAACCACGTACTAACAGTGTCTGGCAATGCAGTGCACGTGCAGTGCAACCGAATGTACCCGGCTCGGTGTGATAGACAGTAAACACTATGCTCAATACAATCACAACATGGAATATGTCAGGAAGGACGAATGAGAGGTTCAGGGATCATCTCACTCAAGCTTGCGGTCTGCCCAGTGCTTCCTTTGCCGGGTTCCATCCCGTATCATAACGGACGAATAAAGCCAGACTGACATGGAAACGAACGCCTCCAAACGAACTAGGAATACAACATCCTAAGATTGTTGCTGACGAATGAGCTATTCTATGCTAGCCTCGACTATGCGCGGCAAGCCAGGCCCGTCCGATCCACGCCTTGAAGTACGTTGGGTCGGTCTTCCCATCCTCAGCACATGATATATCGTGCTTCCCAAGTCGCAACGAAAGTGCCGCAGACCGACCAGCAAGGGATGCGACCCAAGCTTTCAAAAGCGACAAAGCATGGGGCCTGGAGCCACAAGGCTCTGGCCCCTCATAGTATATTACACCGTAATATACTAACCAACCACATAACGTACTCTCACATACATACCACAATGTGTTCCCAAGACCCGCTGGGGCGCATGTAATGCGTGGATGCATGACAAATTTCAACTCGACCCTGCTGTCCATGATCGACCAGGCCTCGCAGAATCCCGTGCAGGGACTGTTCTCTGCCACGGAACACTTTGAGGGCATATTATGCTTCTTTGAATGTCCTACCCAGTAAGGAGGTTAGCAGCTTGCAGTAAACAGCGCAGCATGCTGCCGCCTCTACCGACACCACCACCACCACCGCCCCGGACGCAACGATGAATTCAATCCAGCAACCTTCATTCTACCTACATTACTCTGCACATGCTCCCCAAACCCGGAACCCTAAAGCTCCCCCGTCAACCTTAGTACAAATCATCCTGTCCATGAGTTCTACGGCCCCCGCGTAGTTCTGCAAAGTTGAGTCGACGGTAGAGCCGGTCACGGAGAGCGCAGTGTCCATGCCTTCAGCAGGCAATGGGAGTTCCAATCCAGTACCCTATATAGTAGGATCCTTATTATAAGGACCCCAAAATAAGGTACGTCTAATTTTCGGAAACTCATAAACCACTCTTTGAATGCCTAGCTGTAGTGCTTTGGGCTGACTTCGGAGCTATGAGGCTTGGGACTCTGCGCCTTGGTGCTAAGGGCTTTCAGGCGTATGACTTCGGGGCTCAGTAGTTTAGGGTTTTTTGTGGGTAGTTTAGGGTTTAGGGTTATGAGGTTTAGGGTTATGAGAATAGTTCATGGGAGAGAATTATTGAGGATTTAGGGGCTGATGCTTCCGAGATTGCAGGAGGCGAAGAGTTCAGTCACAATTGCGGTTTCCTCTTTCCCAACTTCCCCCTCTTTTCTGCGTGCATGTCATGCCGGGACTATCCACAAGCCCTGTGCCAGTATCGGATATCAACAACTCACGGGACAGTCGCAATCCGACCAGAACTGCAGACTGCAAGACCACCCGAACAGTCAGGCCGATTTACGCCCTGCCTTGTTGCAGAGCTGTCGTTGCCTGTATCGTCGCAGTCAGCCACTTCGTGACCTGCATGTTTTGGCTGTCCCAGAAAGAAAACTCGAGCGATCTGGCGCCGTTCTTGGTGTTCAAGTTTGGAGACTGCGATAAACCCCTCCAGGTGACGTCTGCATTGCCGTCATCACCGTCATCAGCAGCAGTATAACCATCACCCAGCAGCAGCAGCGCCAGCAGCTCAACTTGATCCTAAGTCTTATTGCTGCTGCCACCACCACCACCACCACCACCGCCACCACCACCACCACCACCACCACCACCACCACCATTAACACTAGCAGCCTAAACCCTAAACCCTAAACCCTAAACCTTCTACTACTCCTCCTCCTACTGCTGCTACTGGAATCTTGGCCTGGGCCATGGCAGGGTTCAGCTCGGTGTCGAGAGCATGCCTGTGACAGAGTTGCGAAGTCGAGTTGCTTCGGTTTAGGGTTTTAGGGTTTTGGGGTTTGGGGTTTCAGGATGTTGGTTTCGAATGTCGGGACTTAGGAGCTTAGGGCTGTAAGGCTTTAGGTTCTAGGGGTCTGAATTTTAAGGTTTGAGGTATTTTCGAACTTCAGTGATAAGCAATAGTCCCTTTGGGGTCTTCTCACAGACATCTGGGAGCAGCATGAATAGCGACGGAACCCCACCAGCCGCAGTCGCATGGAGAGCTCCCCTGTAGCCGATGTTGCAACGAAACAGCAACTTGCCCACGCGAACTGCCACCTAATTCCTCCACAAGTCCGAACTCGGCTTCCAAACCCAAGCAACCCAGCGCGGGGCGCACGTCACGCTGAACGCTACGCTGCCCCAACCGCCAGCAGACCTGGGCTCAAGCTTAGCACAGCGACCTGTGCAAGTAACTGTCGATCTGTCCACCTGCCTATCATATTATCTGTCTATCTTTTTGCCTGTTTACCTATCTATCTATCTATCGAGCTATCTATCCATCTACTCACCTACCTACCTGCCTGCCTGGCTATCCATCTAGCCATTCTTCCGTCCATCCATCTATCCATCTATACATGCATCTCTTGTTTGTATGCGTTTTTTGCGTGCGTACACAGATGTGAAGGCATTTGCTTGGTACATCGATGCAGACGTTTTTGAGAGAGAGAGAGAGAGAGAGAGAGAGGGAGAGCGAGGGAGTATGTATGTGTATATACGTACATGCGAAACTGTGACATGCGCAGATTTCTTACAAGATCGGCCTTGGATAAGACCTCCCACGGTCACATCCGAAACATCCGAAGCTTCACAAAAAATCTGCGCCTTTAGTCACTGGCTTAGTCTACCTTTGCAGCCCAGGCATCCAGGTCTTAGCATGTCTTAGCAACCTACAACTGCTGTCTGCTCCGATTGTGAGACAATCGCAGTTTATCCCGCTTATTTGAGGTCACGGCGAACCCAGGTCCTTCAGCATCAGCGCTGTGGAGATATTACCGAAAAGGACCAAGGAATGGCCTGATCAATGCGTTCTTTCTGGATTTAGGGCTGACGGTGCAGGCGTGGCAGTGGATCGGAGATTGAAAGCATGCCGAGGCCGCATGTGATCGCCGCAATGAAGAGGAAGCACGTACATCGTGGGACGCCCTGCGCAGTCTCGCAGTACAACATGGAACCTTGGCCTTTAGATGCCCCGAAACCGTCGCGCACTAGACCACTTCTGTCACTTTATGCATCACTAGAGAGTAGTGCTTCAAGGCAAATGTTTGCCGGCTTGAGGCCCTGGTGAAACTGTCCTGGTTCTGGCCCGCCATCTGTGCGCGCTGGAGTTTCGCTCAGATGAAGACCTTTCGAGCAAGCACTCAAGCAATGGAATCATGAGCAAACTGCTTGTCGAGGGCACCGAAACCGGCGCCCAAGGCTATCGCCCCGAGCCAAAGTCTTGGCTCCCGACGCTGCGCTGGGCTGCGCGGCGCGGGGATAAAGACAGGTTCAGTGACAGAGGGATGGGCGCCGAAAAACAAGCGGTCCCGTCTTGGGCCAGGAAAAGCAGAAAGCTGTGCCTGCAAGGTTGACAGAAGGGCGGCCGGGGATTAAATCCTAAACCCTGCACAGGCTCCACCATCCTAACATATTGGAGCTTCGGGTCTAGGGCTCCATAGTCCTGATCTGTGGGTAGTTGTCAAAATTAAGGTACCCTAAGGTGCCGTATTATAGTAGGGACCCAAAACGGGACCATAATCTTGACAACCACCCATGTTGAGGCCTCGCAAAACGACCTCCCTGATCCTGATATCCTACTCAACTTCGACGGTGCTCCAATGCCAACACCCAACCCACTTCCAAACAAGCACTCTTACTTCAGTACACCATACTGCTATTACCTTTGTTACTATTATTACGATTGTTATTGTTAATAGTATTATTTTAATTACTATTGTTATTACTATCACGACTAGTGTGCTTATTACTATTACTATTGATACTATAATTTCTACTATCATGTATTTGTACTACTCGTATTCTTGTTATTACTAATAAGTGGTGTTAGTATTATCAGTACATGGCTCGAAGGCAGCTCTTTCTATGCCACTCTCGGCGATGACCTGAATAGTGGGGGCTGCCATGAACACCGGGCTTAAGTCTTCCACTTCAAGCTACTAATCGTGATAGTAATAATAATAGCAATTATAATAATACTACTAATAATAACAATCGTAATACTAGTAGGAAAACTTTAGAGTTGTGCTGATGCTCGTCACCATTACTGGTAGCGTGGTGGCAGTGAAAGAGAAACTGGGAATGCTAATTAGTCGTCGTCGTTGTAGCGTGGTCGTGGTGGTACCAGCAGCAGCAGTAGCTGCCCCGACTGTGGCTGCGACTGCTGCTGCTCCTGCTACTGTTCCTGCTGCCAGTGCCACCGCTACTGCGACTGCTGCTGCGACTGCTACTGCTGCTGCTGCTGCTGCTGCTGCTGCTGCTGCTGCTGCTCCTGCTGCTCCTGCTGCTGCTACACTACTACCACTGCTACTACTGCTACTATTCGTTGCCGTTGTGGTCGCCCGCGACGTCGTCGTATCAATAGTGGCAGCACTGGGAACAGCAGCTGTTGTAGGATGCAAGCAGTAGTCATCGTAATGGTTCATCCAGCCCGAACTTTGCTGCGCGCCTCACTCCTACACTCCCCACATCTATTTGCGCTTTGCGCTTTGGCAAGCGGCATGCTCACTCCAGGTACACATTGACCTACGGAATTGTGACCTCAGCCAGATGCCCTGTCCTCATCCTATCTCTCCGCTCTAGAAGTCTCTGGACAGCAAGGCTGGCCATCCTCGCAGGAACAGAATAACCTGCAGTAAGAACGCGCCAAAGCTGCGTTCGCGCGCATGAACTTGAGAGTGCTTTGACGTGGCTGAGCTGACTGGACAGTGGTCAAACTTAGAAACATGCGGAGTGTGAGATGGACCTGGAATGTGCTGTGTCACGAAAGCCCTGCGTGGACCGATGAGTTTGAGCACCGCTTGGCAAGCAAACAGCATGAATCTGTGCGCCTGCCGCTGTTTCAAGTAAGCCCTGAATGTCTACAGTCTGCGCACGAACGTGGTGGTATTGGTGGGAACAACAAGGACCAGATTTTCAGCTGTCGCTGTAACAGTGATAGCCGGAAGAGCTGCTGCAATAAGATAAATTGTAACTGTAACTCTACTTGCGGGTAAAAGTTTCCTGCAAGCCACCGAGAACAGTGCTCTGAGCGCGGACGACGAGAGGCGGTCCGCGCTGCTCCACCTGAGAAGGCGCAAGGCTCCTGTTCCCAGAGGTCGGCTCAGAGGAAGCTGCAGCGTGCTCTTTTCTTTTGGTCACCCCTCGCGTAGTCAGAAGGTCACTACGGCTTCTTGCAGTAGCCCCACCAGGTGCCCTGGCAGCCTCGGTCCTCCACCCTGCACCAGTCGCCAGTAGCGTCGTTGTCCGGGTTGCCACAGTAGCCTTCCACGTCAACGCCCCAGTAACTCCACCCATGCTTGCACAGGCAATCCTTTGTGGTGTACTTCTCAGCGTCGGGTGCCGGTGCTGGCACCGGCTTTGGGCAAATCTTCCAACCATAGTGTGTCACACTGTAATCGGAAGACCACTCAATTTTGCCCGTAGGTACTTTTCCATGGGGAGTGTTGTCTCCGCTGTACTTCTCGCCGTTCACCTCGAGGTAGTCGTAGTCATAACCCTCCACTTGGAAATCCAGCACCTCCATCGATGCTTCCTCCTTCACGTCAAACTCGCACTCCTCTCTGTTGCGGTACTTGTTGCTGCCTCCATAATTCCGGCTCATGATGCAGCCTGCCGCATCAACTGTGCAGGGGCCCTTCCTCAGCTTCCAAGGCTTCTTCCCTGAAGAGGCTGCGGTCGTCGTGGTGGCCGCGGTCGTAGTCGTAGTTGTGCTGGTGGTCGTCGTGGTGGTCGTGGTGGTCGTCGTCGTGGTCGTGGTGGTCGTGGTGGTTGTCGTGGTGGTCGTGGTGGTTGTCGTGGTGGTCGTGGTGGTCGTGGTGGTCGTGGTGGTCGTAGTGGTCGTGGTGGTCGTGGTGGTCGTCGTGGTTGTGGTGGTGGTCGTCGTGGTTGTCGTGGTGGTCGTGGTGGTCGTGGTGGTCGTGGTGGTCGTAGTGGTCGTCGTAGTTGTCGTGGTAGTCGTGGTAGTCGTGGTAGTTGTGGTAGTTGTCGTGGTCGTGGTCGTGGTGGTGGCGGCTGCACCGGCATCCTGATACTCGCAGTACCCCCAATTGGTGCCCTGACACACGGAGTCTTGCACGAAGCACCAGGGGACTGGGTCGGGATCCCACGACTTTGTGGCGCAACTGTCTGAGCACTTGCAGCCCCTGTTGATTGTCACGGCTGTCAAAGCATCGATGGCCGCATCCACACTCGGATAGCGAGCTGCAGGATTCAGGCCCGGTGCTGGGGTTTCGGTGCTTCCGGCCAGGGGGAAGCCGTAGGCATCGCTGGTGCCTGCCATGCTCATCGTTGGGATGCTGACGTGCGTCAAGACGCACAAGCCCACACGGAAGCTCCCACCCTCGCCCCAGTTTGGGCCCCAGGAGTTCCTGAGCTCGCAACGTCTTAAATCATGCTGCGGCTGCTAGGGGCTGCTAGGGCGGGCCACTAAGAACAGAGGGGATTTAAGGAAGCACTGTCACTTGCGGCTGAAGCTCAGGCAGATCCAGCTGTCGGGTTCCCAGCCAATGGCCGTCACCGCGTGATTCGGGGACATGTCACAGGAATGCGTGTAGACCCCACTGGAGTACTCCATGAAGGGCCCATCGGCCATCATGGCTGCGGGCACCGGCCCGCCTGCCAAGAGCGCCTCCCGAATCAGCTGGTAGGCGAGGGCGGGCTTAGGGTGGCTCATAAGGTCGAGGTCGAGGTAGGTGCTGAGGCCCAGATTGAAGCGATCCTCGTGCAAAGTCCTGGAAAATCCGGTGTTTGAGCACTCTGTCGGGCACGGAGGTGCTGTGGAGGTCTGGGCGAAGTGCTCCGTGCCCTCACCGTGTCCGAAGTACGGCGAACAGCCGGCGTCGCCACCGGTGGGGGATCCACTTTGGTCCAAGAACCTCACATGACACCACCCTGTGAGTTTCCTACACACGCCAAGACACCAAGCCGATCAAGGCTGAGGTCGGGACCTGAAGACGTCACTGGGCCAACCTCCTGAGCAGCCATCGCGGGGGCTTTCGTAGGTACAGGAAGTCACGAAGCCGCGGGCGATCTGTGCGCTGGGGCCACTGAAGAGGCCTCGACAGGCAAGGCTCCTCTCCCTCTCCCGTCAGACGCTCCTCTCCAACCCTGTATACTTGCGTCTCCTCTCCTCTCAATCCTTCGCTTCTGTCCTCGCTACCCTCTCTCCCCTCTCTTCGTGGGTAAGAGAGCACGAGGAAACCTCGCATCGCCTGGCCCTGGTCTCTCTCTCGCTCTCAATTACTCGGGTCAATCGCCCTTTCTCGCTTGCTTGCTTGCTTGCATGCATGGCGTGTGGGGTAAGGGGGAAGCCCCCAAAACCCCCGCGCGCGAGCGCAACGCCTGAAGTCTGTGTTCGGTGTGAGACTGTTTGGTGACCTCCAAGCTGCATGGCGCTTCAACTCGCAACCCCATTACTCCAGCCCTCGCTACTTGCGCCTCGTACAGCTTGTCGGTCTCTGTGCTATTTTCCGTGTTATTCACGGGTTTGCAGGGTTCCGTTCGGCCCCGCGGGAGCCCCCGTACCGTATGCACCACAACGTACACACAAGCACACAAAGGTATCATACCACCAACACGAGCGGCTCTCCGTGCTGCTTCTACCTCTTGCTCCCTATGTGCTGGTTTGGTGGAACTATGTTGTTTGCGCCAGTGCGGGTCCCGGGGGGAAAACAGGCAGGCCGAGGAGAAAGGGCTCGCGCTCTCTCTCTTAGACTCTTGCTCGTGTCCTCCGCCTGCAAATCCTTCTACCTCTTCCGCCTCTTCCGCCTTTTTTGCCTCTCCTTCTGCCCGGACAACCTACCGAATACCATTGTGGCTTTTCTTGTCTCTCCCTGCTCTCACTGGGCAGACGTCTTTCTGTCCAGGGCACCATTAGTGGAGATGCAGAGGCGGCTGTCCACGGCTGACAACGCTCCGAAAGCCCAACAGCTTCCGCACTGACCTGACAAGAACTTGCACTGTCTCTCGCTCTCTGGCACACGCTCCGTGAGAGACTACGACGGTTTAGGGTTTAGGGTTACTTCTGGACGCTTCTTCTTGGCGCCTTGGTTGTGGATCCGGCCGATGATCTCGCTGCACTCGGGCCAATGGTTGCGGGCGTCGAAGTTGGCGGGCAGAGTGCGCTTCTTCATGCGCTCCACGATGCTCCGGCTCGTTTCCAGCAGAAGGGTCCGGTTCTCGTGAGGCTGCTGGATGCCGGTGCGATGCTGGAGGTCGATGGCGGAGAAGTTGGCCAGCCACTCGGCAAACTCGAAGCTCACCTCATGGTATTGCTCTAGCAAGATCTCCTGCAGCCTTTGAGTCAAGAGAGGGCGCTCGTCTTCCAAAGCCTGCATAAAGTCTTGCATGTAGTCAACATGCCCGTCAGCGGCATCGTGCTTGCACAGGATCTCCATCTCCTCGATGACCCGTGCTCGGAAATCCTGAAGCTCCACCGGCGTCAGCTCCTGATCCAGCGAGGACCGGGTCACGAAGTGATCGAAACCCTCCTCCACGTTCTCCATGCAGCTGAGCTCTTTGTTGAAGCTCTTGTAATGCGAGGAATCGAAGGACTTGAAGTTCTTCTCGATCAACAGCTTGCTGCGCTTCCCGAGCTCCCGTGCCCGGGCGAAGGACTTCTCGACTCTGCCCTCCAGCTCCTCGTAACTCAGCAAAGCTCCCGCTCCCTCCGCTCCCTCCAAGCGATCCGCATTCAGCGTCTTCGAGGAGGACTGTGAGCGCTGCAGGAGCTCAGAGCCACCCTTCACGGGGGTCCCATCCACGCAGGAGTCGTCGGAGCAAGGCTCCGAGGCGGTAAGCAAAAACTTGAAGGTAAAGAGAGAAAGCACGAAGAAGAAGAGGCGCTCCATGGCACACCCCTCTAGTCTCTTCAGAGATCGTCGTTGCTTGCTCCAGCTTGGCACGAAAAGGCTGGAGATGCTTCAAGAACTTCATAACAAGAGCTCGAGGACTGCGCCCCTCAACATCACTGCGACACCCCGGCCTGCCGGCTGCTCGGTCGCCCCTGCGCCCGACAGACCTCTCACGCTCGCGTACAACACTCATAGCACTGTCTGCGCCGAGTGAACTGGGACCAGAAGAGCCCTCCAGCGCGGTCCACATGGACTTCCAAGCCTCCTAGAAATCCGATGGGTGGGGGCAAGGATTGGTCCTCTTCGAGCTTGAATGTTGTGTGCTTTCTTGCAAGGATGCATGAAGAGGGCAAGCAATTTGCTGCGTGCCACAGATCTACGACGGATCGTGACGAAGCAAAGAAGGTCATCGATGCCAACTCAAAACTGCAAAACACAAAAGTACACACCATCGATTTCAACAAGAACCGAGCAACAGTGATTAGCCTGTGGCTGCGGTACTGCTCCCTCTTAGCGCCGAGCACTACCGAGTTGATCGCAGCTGCCCATCGCCGGAGCCAAACGCAAGAACGGGACGGAAAGTGAAAAAGGGCTTGCAACGCTTAAGGTGTTCGGAAATGGGTTTAGGGTTTAGGGTTAGGGGGGCTCCTCGCTGTGCGTGGGTATCTTCACACACCCGGACCACAAGCAGCGAAGCAAGGAGGAACAAGCTCTCCAGGCCAACGTGCTATTTCAAGGAAACTCTCAATCTCCAGTTCCCGGACACTCCCCAGAACAGAGGAGGCCCTTCCAAGCATCCTAGAGAACAGCTTCCGGAGTTGGCTCCGTAATTCGAGCGTTCTTTTGGCCCATGTGTTGCAACGATGTCCGACGTGGAAGCACCTCCTGTTCCTCCCCCTCAAAGAGTGGAGTTGCCGCAGGAGTGTAGAACGTCCTTCGTAAATAAATGGTCCTTCCTCGTCTGCCTGTTGCTGGGAGACTTTGTCCGCCCGTCTGGCCCGCCTGCGACAGGAGCGTCAGGATGCAAAGGTGTGGTATTGTCTGCGTGTCTACAAGATGTCTTGATTGTCTTTCGTCCAAAGCAGGTAGAAGCGCGCAGAGTCGCTAAGATCCTGAAAGCAGAGCAAAAACGACTTCGCAAGGCATGGTTCTGTCTGCTGCCCCGTCGAATGTAGATGTTTGAACTTGCCCAGGCCAAAACAGTAGCACGGCAGCTTTCTGAATCGCAGTAATTAACCCTTGTCGTTTCTCACACGATGGCGCAAATGTTTTAACGCGCGTTGAGCCCGGCACTGAGAGTGATCAGCGGTCAGTGAGCTTCGCTGTCGCCTCTCTGGTGTTGAACTGTTGCCCCAGCAGCGAGTATTGTTGAGCAGTGACTAAGCTCTGCCAGCTTTTAGTACGTGAGTCAGTGAGTGTGAATGAGTGAGCTTTGCTGCGACGAACGGCTGCCTGCAGCGCGTAAATTCTTCTTCGGTGTCGGGTGAGCAGTGACCAAGCTTCGCTCTTTCTTTTCCAAGGGAATGAATGTTTACGGCTTTGAGCCCGGCGTTGAGAGTGGTCAGCGGTGCGAGCCCTGCCGAAGCAGTGGGTGAGAGAGCTTGGCTGTGACCCGAACTGTTGCGTGGCAGCTAGTAACTTCTTCGTCTTCGGTTGAGCGTGAGCGGTTCAGCAGTGTGCAAGCCTTGTCTGAGGCAGGGCACGAATGTTTTACGGGCTTTGAGCCCGGCACTAAAAGCGATGACTCTGCGGAGTGGGGTTTGCCATCTGGCAATGAGGTCTGCCATCTGAGCCAGTGAATGTATGAGCATTGCCCAAACTGTTGCCTGAGCAGCTGGTAAACTTTCCGGCTAGTCAGTGACGAAGCCTTGCTTTGACGTAATCCCAGCCTTCTTTTTCTGAAGGCCACAAAACGTGGTTGCGTTGCGGTGTAGGGTTTAGGATGAGTAAGTGAGCCTTGCTGTAGTCCATGTGGGCAGCCAAAACTCTTTGTTGACATCTAGCAGGTTTTTCCGAATGCACGAATGTGAGCCCGTCATATCATGCTCATTCGCTTCTGAAATGTTGAGCCTGTTGCAAGGTCGAAGCTGAGCGCCGTAGTCTTTTACGTAGAGCAACGCGCAGCATGGGAAATCTGGATCCGAAATTGTCCGCTTGCAGAAAGCTAGGACAGGCAGACTCTACTGATCCGCCGCAGTTTGATTCGAGATTGTATGCTGCAGGGTGTGAGGATACAGACGAGGGAACCTGAACGAGCCCAGAGGTGGCGGGCAAATGATTTCACCCTTAGGACAAAGCCGGTGGTATAATACTCAGCTGCCAACTGAGTTTGATTGACTCCGGCATGTCTGGGACCTTCCACCGTTCTAATAGTGTTATACTACCCAAAGGGTGTGTAAGTGGGTTCCCTTGGTTTTTGCAGCAGATGGGGTGGGTTCCCTGTGGGTTCCCTTGTTTTTTGCAGCACTTCAGGTGGGCTACATATGGGTTCCCTTGTTTTTTGCAGCATTTCGGGTGGGTCTGTGTATGTTCTTCATTTAGCTTTCTTGTAGATTCCCATGGTTTTTGCAGCATGGACGGTGGGTTCCCTGTGGGTTCCCAAGTTTTTGCAGCATTTTTAAGTGGGTTCCCATGGTTTTTAACAATATCGACGGTGGATTCTCTGTGGGTTCCCTTGTTTTTTGCAACACTTCAGGTGGGCAACATATGGGTTCCCTTTGTTTTTTGCAGCATTTCGGGTGGTCTGTGTATGTTCTTCACTTAGCTGTCTTGTAGATTCCCATGGTTTTTGCAGCATGGACGGTGGGTTCCCTGTGGGTTCCCTAGTTTTTGCAGCATTTTTAAATGGGCTCCCATGGTTTTTCACCGTCGATACGGTGGGTTCTCTGTTCGGTTCCCGGGTTTTTGCAGCATTTGAAGTGGGTTCCCATGGTTTTCCAATAGGCTCTTTTGGCTTTTGCAGCATGTCAGCTGGGTTCCCTGTGGGTTTCTTAGTTTTTTGCAGCATTTTTAATGGGTTCCCATGGTTTAACAGCATCGACGGTGGGTTCCCTGTGGGTTCCTTGCTTTTTGCAGCATTGCAAGTGGGTTCCCATGGTTTTCCCAGCATATATTGCGCAAAGGTCTGGGCGGGCTCCCTTGGCTCTTGCAGTGTGTCAGCTCGGTTCCCTGTGGGGTACATGTGGGTTCCCATGGTTTCTCCAGCTCGCGCATTATGTTTCAGAGAAGAGTGGAACTGAAGAAGATGTTCAGGACAGTGGCTGCAGGTGTGGCCCAGTTCCATCGCACATCTTGCGCTGCATTTGGATTTGCTGCTTTGAAGTAAGGCTGCAAAAAGCACGTCTGCTATCTGCAGTTTGGGTCGAGACCAAAGACGTTAAACAGGCTCACCTCTGATGCACATGAGGCTCGCCGCCCTCCTGTGGTAATGCTCTTGATAAGTTTGCTGCGGCTAAATGCTGGCACGCTGATGCGAGGATTTTGCAGCATCTACTGGTAGATGTTAATCTCAGCTTGTATCTTCAACTGTTTCGATTGCTTGCTGTACGTGGGCTGTTTTTGCACTGGGAAGCTCCACTTGCAGGAGCTCTTTTTTCCTACAGAATCGTAGGAAGCCTCGAAGGGCCTCCCCTGTGCGGGAAAGATCTTGTACGAACAAGAACAGAAGCACTTGTCTTGAAACGGCAGCCGATGGCAAGTTTGGCAAATTTTCCAAAAGTATCTCACATTTCACAGCATGTTGGCTTTCTTGGACGTTGATCCAAACAGCATGCGGAAGGAATTTTGTTTTTCCGTGCAGTTTTCCAGCTGAAACGGGTTCCAAAAAGCAGCTCTAGTCCGGGCACCGAAACGGGGCTCCCGATTTTGGCTTTCTTCGTTGGACATACAAGCTCACGCAATTCGGGGCCCCAGATTAGAGCTCAGATTTGGGAGCCATTTCTGGGGCCCAGTTATGCCGTTTTTTCGTCGAGCAGATGCCACATCTGCGTGCACAGCTGGCCGTTGCGTGCAACAGTATATACACCTCGCCAGCTCTGTTTTGCATTTTGCCGGTGTTCCTTCAAAACTCAAAATAACAAGTGGAACGCTCGCAAACATGTGAACCTTGCAAACAGAACTTTCTCACACAGAGGAGGCCCTTCCAAGCATCCTAGAGAACAGCTTCCGGAATTGGCTCCGTAATTCGAGCGTTCTTTTGGCCCATGTGTTGCAACGATGTCCGACGTGGAAGCACCTCCTGTTCCTCCCCCTCAAAGAGTGGAGTTGCCGCAGGAGTGTAGAACGTCCTTCGTAAATAAATGGTCCTTCCTCGTCTGCCTGTTGCTGGGAGACTTTGTCCGCCCGTCTGGCCCGCCTGCGACAGGAGCGTCAGGATGCAAAGGTGTGGTATTGTCTGCGTGTCTACAAGATGTCTTGATTGTCTTTCGTCCAAAGCAGGTAGAAGCGCGCAGAGTCGCTAAGATCCTGAAAGCAGAGCAAAAACGACTTCGCAAGGCATGGTTCTGTCTGCTGCCCCGTCGAATGTAGATGTTTGAACTTGCCCAGGCCAAAACAGTAGCACGGCAGCTTTCTGAATCGCAGTAATTAACCCTTGTCGTTTCTCGCACGATGGCGCGAATGTTTTAACGCGCATTGAGCCCGGCACTGAGAGTGATCAGCGGTCAGTGAGCTTCGCTGTCGCCTCTCTGGTGTTGAACTGTTGCCCCAGCAGCGAGTATCTGTTGAGCAGTGACTAAGCTCTGCCAGCTTTAGTACGTGAGTCAGTGAGTGTGAATGAGTGAGCTTTGCTGCGACGAACGGCTGCCTGCAGCGCGTAAATTCTTCTTCGGTGTCGGGTGAGCAGTGACCAAGCTTCGCTCTTTCTTTTCCAAGGGAATGAATGTTTACGGCTTTGAGCCCGGCGCTGAGAGTGGTCAGCGGTGCGAGCCCTGCCGAAGCAGTGGGTGAGAGAGCTTGGCTGTGACCCGAACTGTTGCGTGGCAGCTAGTAACTTCTTC